AGATCACATGATTTGATAGTGCTAAGAGGTCAACTCTCTAACTGATGTATAAATTCAACCGACCAACAGGCTTCACCTCCTCACCCCGGGGTGCTAGGGATTCGATCCAAAGCCTGCACACCGTAGGTAAACACTGTATTACTTAGTCACGTACCCAGCCCTCAATAAGCTTTTTTACAATTGACAAATTGATTACTCTAAATTTTCATAGAATGCAAAGGACCTAGAATAGTTGAAAACACTTTGAAAAAGAAAAATTATGAAGTTGAAGACTTAGAAGTGCCTGTGTTAGTTAGTGTTTCATTGCTGTAATATAATGCTTGAGGTAAATAATTTAAAAGGAAACATTTGTGGCTTATGGTTTCATAGGGTTCAATTCATGATCAACTAGCTCCATTGCTTTTAGGCCTGTGGCAAGGCAGAAATATCAAGGCAGAAGAGCATGTTCAAAGAAATTTGGTTACTTCATGGCAGGTGGGAAGTTGACAGAATAAGGGAGGGACCCAAGGGACCTACTTACTTCAACTAGGCACCACCTCCTAGTGTCTATCACCTCCCAATAATGCCATCAAATTATGAATTAATCAACTATTAATTCAATGATTAGGTGAGAATCCTCAGGATCCAATCACTTCCCAAGAGCCCCACCTCTGAACATTGCACTGGGGACCAACCCTTCAACACATGAATTTTTGGAGGACATTTCATATCCAAACCATAAATGTACCTGATTCCAAGTCTCATTACAAAACTGTAATAATCAAGATAGTGTGATTTAGGCATCAAATCAATATTTGCTCAAAGAAATGAATGCATATGCCCATATAACAATTTGTACATGAATGTCCACAGCATGTGCCCCAAACTGGCAACAATGCAAATGTCTATCAAGAGATGAATGGATTAAGCCAATGGCCGTGTATCTATACTGTGGAATAATATTTGACAATAAAAAGGAAATAGATCCTAGATACTCCCAGCAACATGAATGAAGCTCAAAATAATTTTGCTATATGGTGGAAATATCATGTACTCATGTATGAAAATGGAAAAATGAGACCTGTTGAACTATTCTAAGAAGCGGGGGGAGGGGAGATAAAGAATGATGGAGAAGGTGAACTTAACTAAGATATATTGTAAGTATTTTTATGGACGTCATAATGTACTCCCTGTATAACAATAATATGATAATAAAAAAACAAAATAATTTTGCTTATAAAAGAAGTCAAATCCCCTCCTGCCTCTGCAGGGGGGTGGGTGGGGGGAATAAAGGAGTTCCTATGTATGATTCTATTACGTAAATCCTAAAAAACATGAAATTAACCTATAGTGACAGATCAGTGGCTGCCTCAGGGCAGGATAATGAGGACAGGTGCAGGCTGGAGAGATTACAAAGGAGCTCCATGAATCTTTTGGAAGCAATGCCTACATTCATTACATTCATTGTCATATGGTTCAATGGTGCACACATTTGTGAAAAAAGCCAATTGTACGCTTTAAATACATTTTGTTATATGGCAACTATGCCGCAATAAAGCTAATAAATAAGACTAACAACTGGCATTAGAGTGGAGGTTTTGTCAGATGGGTGGAAGGAAAAGATAATGGGAAGGACATTGAGGACATTTGTACGAAAGTGGCTAAAATGATGAATCATGAAAATTAGTAAGACAAGAGTGGGAAATTATGAGAGAAGGGGACTGATAATAAAATGCAAAACAGAAGCAGGAAGAATGACTGAATAAGAAAACTTGGACAAGAAACTGTGGTTCTCTAATAAAAAGAATTCAAAGTTTCAGAGGCAAATGAATTCTGGATGACCTATTCCTAAAATGACTTTAGGAACAGATCACTGAAGCAGAGCTGGTATAAAGGTTACTTGGGGTCAGGCATAGTGGCCTACACCCATAATCCCAGCTGAGGCAGGAGGATTCCAAGTATGAGGCCAGCCTGAGCTACATAGTAAGACCCAAAAATTAAGCAACACAGAAAAAAATAAACAAATAAATAACATATAAAAATACAGATCAGTTGAGATGACAACTAAGAATCTAGGGTTCTGAACTAGTCATTTGTCTGTTAAAGTCACCTAGAAGCCAGACACTAGTGGCTCACACCTATAATCCAACTACTCAGGAGGACGACAGTTTGAAGCCAGCCCGGGCAAATAGTTCGTGAGACTCTACATCAAAAAATACCCAACTGGGCTTGGAAGTGTGGATCAAGCAGTAAAGTGCCTGCTTTGCAAACATGAAGCCCTGAGTTCAAACCCCAGCCCCACCAAAAAAAAAAGAAAAAAAGTCACCTAGAATGATGCCAAGTCTTGGGTTGAAAACACAACTCTAAGAAAGACATCAAAGTTTTAACTGGATGAATGAGATTTCATACCTTGTAGTTGCTAAAAACAAAAACAGCAAAAAAACCCTAGATTATCTAGAGCATCCCGTTCTGTGTTCCAGACAAACCAGCTACTAAAAAATACATTAAGCTGTGAACAAACTATATCACTGACTTCATTAAATTTTTATTTTTTAGTCTTACTATTAATTGTATTTCAAAGTTCACTCAGAAATGTGAGTTCATGTAAAACAAACACTTGAGGCAACATTATTACTGGCCAATTCCCCAAATCAACAACACCCTTTATTTTGAGCCACAATGACCTTAAGTGTAATTTTCGTAATTCCAGTGATATTTTTCAAACAATCTTAAATCATTTCACTGGTTATTTTTATCAAGAAAGAAGACAGCTCTAACTTCTCTTGAAGATTAGCTTTATTGAAATGGAATAGTACAAACAATGGAATCAAGGAATATCTAAAAGATAAATCTAGAATTCTAAATTTTAGAAAAGAATGCTATAAAACGAACATTCATTGAACTATTGTTCAATGTGCTGCATATATTCAAAACTAAGGATCCCTTTTTCTAGCAAATAATCTACTCAAACTGCACCACTTCATTTTTTTGTTGGTTTGTTATTTGGGTTTTTTGTTGTTTTGTTTTTGTTGGTTTGGGATTTAAACTCAGGCACTTGCTAGACAGGCATTCTACTTCTGGAGCCATACTTCTAGTCCCATTTCATCTTTTTAAATCATACATGTTTAACTTAGTTTTTATTTCTAAGACAAGGCTTCACTGAGACAAAAATTAAATTTGGTTTATAAAGCATACTTTCCTAAAAACTAGTATTTATAAAATTTTTCTTTAATGAATTCATAAAATGAGCTCTTTGCTAATCTTGTAAATTATATATTACTAAGAATATTCTGTATGTTTTTAGAAATTATCTTGTTTTCTATAGAAATAAGCCCCATCATTAATTTGCAAAAAATAAAAATAACCATTATTTCTGATTTGCTGAAATTTAAGAAAGAAAAAGTACCTTGGCTTGTTTTCTCTTACTTATAAAATCCTTGAGATCAAAGTTTTAATTCAGTATTTATAGTGGTAACCTCAACTATTCACAAAGCTTGAAGGGTTTCAACCAACAAAAATTTCTTTAATATGTGCAAGGCAAACCTCCCTCAAATTCTCACCCAAACAATTACTTGTGTATAAAATAAAAGGGCAAATTAGAAGAGAGAAATACCATTATACAAAGGAAAAATGGCAACTGACAGAAGAGAGAAGAGAGAAAACTATCAAAATACACAGAAGACACGAAGTAACATACTGAAGCATCTGTAGATGAAAGGATATGATGTCTGGGATTTGCTTCCAAATAATATAGGTTTGGAGAGGATCAGTGGAGGATATAAGTGAGACACATAGGATCATGTGCTGGTAATTATGAAAAACAGGTAATGAATAAAGGGAGTTTATCATAATATTGGTCTCTTGTATACCCTTAGAAACTTTAATAATTAAAAAAAAGTAAAACAACAAAAACAAACAGAATTATAAGCCAAAAAAAATACAAACTGATGACTATCAATAAGGTTATGAGCAATCTTCAACTATCCAAAGGCCTTTTTCTGTCTCACCTTGTATGACCTCTCCATAAATTCCACTGTATCACGTTTCCTTAATCTTTGCTTTCTCTGGTTTCGCAAACTTTTGACTCCTTTCCTCTCAATCTCTTTAGATGTTTTTCTCTCTTTGCCTGCCTCCAAAGTTCTTGTCTTTTCAAACTTTATGAACAATTGCAAAGATTTAATTACATCTATACATCAATGACCCTCCAATTGCCATTTTTCACCCTCATCTCTTGGGGATTCTAGAATTGTTATTTCCAATGCTATTCACCACTTGGTAAATAAGCCACCTCTCAAATTCTACTGCAACTCTACTTTATCCTTTCTCTATCAACAGATGAGTACTTTCAGCTTTGCTTAATACATCCATTTTGATCTCCTACTACTTAAATACAATGTATCCAAAACCCAGTTCATAGTCTTTCTCAACATTTCCCCCACACAAAGCAGTTGCTCTTCTTGAAGCTCTCTTATTTCTGCTAATAGTATCCAATCAACCATATCTCACCACAAGCCTCCTTTGGCTCTATTACTAATTGCTGGGACTATTGCCAAGGCTTCCTGATTTTCCCTCCTCTGGTCTCTTCAGTTTCACTCCATCACATAGAGGTGCCAGATTAATATTTCTAAAAAACAATCTTTAATGCCTTCCCTCTCCTTCTCTGCCTACTAAATCATTTAAATTCTCTAACCAAATATTCTGTGCCCTCTTCATCACCTAAGCTCCAGTAATGGAACCTCTGTGACATTTTAATTATCCCTCTATGAATGTAAGGGTCTGCTAGCTATTACAGCTCACTTAATGGAGGTCTTACTGTCCCCCATTATTTGTTGGCTATTTAAGGGCAGGGCCCATACCTTAATCTCTACCTTAGAAAATAACACAGTAAATAGCACTTATGAAGGAAGGAAAGTAAGACTTTAGAATAAAAACAAACTTAGGTTATGAAATAGTACTTCAATTCTCTTTCCTGCAGACGTAGTCTTCCTAGAATGAGCACATGAAGTAAATCTATTTGTTACCTGTTATTACATTTATATCTGGGTACTGGTTTTCACACAGACCAACGGCTTTGCTATCCTTTTCAAAAGCTTCTCGGAGTTCCTTCTTGACTGCTGCTGAACCACATAATCGATACAGTCCTACTACCTAGAAATAAAATTATGGCCACGTTATGGTAAGTTCAACAAAGACAAAATATGAGTATAATATAAATCACATGCACTGGGTAATCAAATACATTCTGAGGGCATTTAAATGTAATTTAAAATGCTGATGGCTGGCAGATTAAGATCTGAAGTGAGTACTTTTCATCAATCAGTCACCTGAGTAGCGAGCAGAATCCATAAGGAAAAACCACAAATAAACTAAGCTGTATTTTTTAAATGTAGGTGGCCTAAGGAAATAAAGCTAAAATATTAAGCAGGATCAAAGGAAATGCTTCCACAAAAGAAGAAATTAATTTCATTATAGCCCTTCTGGTGTAAGCACATAAAATTCTGTACTAAGGATATATCCCCTTGAGCTTGAGAGGGAAAGAAACCTCAAATGAATAAAAGAAAGTACTACTTGAATAGAAGACAACAAATCAACAAAACATTTTATCTTGAAAAGATGAAATTAATAAATATAGTTCTTTAAAGGATGAATAAAGAAATGAACATCTAATATAAGTATTTCAAAGAAAGGCTATTTTAGGATATACTCCTAAACTCAGATGCTGAGTTTTTGAATCAAAGCTATGCAGTACATGCTTGATGCCTGTCTTAGACCCAGAGTCTGGACTGGATGGACCGTGACCTCTGGAGTAATTTTTCACGGTGAAAGCCCAAGATGAGGGGTAGCAGCATCCAAAACATTTGGAAGATGCAAAAGGCCACACCACAAGTTACTTCTGTATGACTATTAAAACTTGATTTTCACAGCGAAAGAAAACAAGAATAATTACTGACGACAGGTCGGCAAAATTTAAGCACTATGGGAAGTGGGTAGAGTGGCTCATGTCTGTTATCCTAACTCATGAGACAGAGATCACAAGTTTCAAAGTTTGAGGTCAGCACAGGCAAAATGTTCAAGAGACCCTATCTCAACCAATAAAAAGCTGGGCATGGTGACAGGCACCTGTTATCCCAACTACTCAGGAGACGTAAATAAGAGGACCACTACACAGGTCTGCCTGGCATAAAAGTGAGACTCTATTCAAAAACTGACAAAGTAGAAAGGGCTGGCAATGTGGTTCAAGTGGAAGCAAGTTGAAGAGCCAGAGTTCAAACACCAGTTCTGCCAAAAACAAAACCAAAAAAGGTTTGCAAAAAGTACAATTCCAAATTCATTACTGTAAAACGTGCACCTTAGCTTACAGGAAATCTTTACTAAAATAAACCTTTATCTCATTTTTTGCTATACTGGGGATGAACTCGGGGCCTCACTCTTGCTAGGCAGGCCCTCTTACCACTTGAGTCACTCTGCCAACCCTTTTTGCTTTGGCTGTTTTTGAGATAGGGCTTTTCTTTATGTCCAGGCAGGCCTGGACTGTGGTCCTCCAATCTGTGCTTCCCCACACAGCTGAGATGACAGGTGTGTACCACAGCGCCCAGACATTAGTTAAGATGGAGGTCTCACTTTTTGCTGGGGCTGGCTTTGAACTGAGATCCTCCCAGTCTCTTGCTAGGATTACAGGCTTAAGCCACTGTGTCCAGCATAAAATAAAAATCATTGCTAACAATGTTTTCATGGTATCCAAAAAAAGTGATTAACAGTTTTCATACACTTGCTTTATAAATACCTCAGAAAATAAATCATAAACATACAGTGCCACTTAGATACTTATTTGAACATTCAATTATAAAAGTTTATTAAATAATTAGCTTTAAAATCTGCCTAACCTCTAAATTCTCTACACAATGACTGAAAAAAAAAAAAAAAAGAAAATGGAGGAACAAATTGAGAATGATAAGAAAGAAAAGTAATTGACCAAAGAAGTTGAACTGAAGGCCTCAGGAGTGTTGTCTGTGTGTTGTCCACACAGACAACATAAACTAGAGACAGAATCGTTTCTCTGAGTTGGAAACGGTTTTAAAAGTTTAGATGTGCTGTCTTATAGCTACTGCACACACATTACAGCTGTACGCAGTCAAGACCCAGAGACGAAGTGACCTGCCTGACATCACAATGCTAAGTGTAACAGAGGAGAAAGCAAACTCCACGCTTCTGTACCTTCATGTAAAATTCCACTAACCTGTGGTGTTTCTGTAGTTTCTACACTGAATTCAAAGTGAGATGTTCTAAATAAACAGCTCATGTCTTAGATTTTTTGATATTTACCCTCATTTAAAAAAATTAATCTTTTTATCAATGTTGTAAATTCTGATAGCACTAGAACACCTCAGGACACAATGATTTTTAGGCTAATATGTGTCAGAGAGCATAAATACATTTTGTACCTCAATTTCATCCCCAGTGATATGCTATTTATCAGTGTCATAGTCCACATGTATTAATGAAAATAAAGAATTATAAGGCCTATTAACTGCTTGACATTTACATATCTTGTTACAAATAATATCAGGTTTTTTGTTTTAATGGGTTGCCTTTGCTTTCTTATTTAAAAGGGAATGAGATGTGTTCTTATGACTAGGGCTTCTTCTCATCTAACACGGAATTCCAAAGTAAAGAGACAAAAACTTTTATGACTTCCAAAGAGTGGAACTGAGAGAGACTAGGGAGTAAGGGCAGGGAGTTGATTTTAGGAGTGAGGCAAAGCTGTGGGATTCACTACTAGAACTTTCTCTTATAGAATGTCAAGCCATGCAGAAGCATTCCTGAGATGAATTAGCCTTTGCCTATGCTACCAGTTTTTCCTAGGAATGCCATTAGAAGGCAATCTTGATCTCTAGGTATAAAGCACACACAGCATGAATAATAAAAGAAAAATGAAAAAAAAAAAAAAAAGAAAAAACCCATCACAAAAAAAGGGCTGGTGGAGTGGCTCAAGGTGTAGACCGCAAGTTCAAGCCTCAGTACCACAAAAAAAAAAAAAAAAAAAAGGATGTAAAAAGCCTGTACCCTAAAAACTAGAGTCTGGGGGCATGCCTAGCATACTCAAGGCCCTGGGTTCAATCCCCAGTACCAAAACCAACAACAACCAAAAATGTTGCTGAGAGAAGTTAAAGAAGACCTGTATGAATGAAAGCCAAACCCTGCTAACAGATGAGGAGACTGAATATCATCAGTGATGTCAGTTCTTCCCAGAATGAGCTACACACTAACAAGGGAAAAGCAAATAAATTGATTTAGTGTAAATTAAGGGACAAACCAAAGAAATGGGGACAATTTTTTTTCTTGGTGGCACTGAGATTTGAACTCAGGGCCTCACACTTGCTAAGCAGGCACTCTACCATTTGAGCCACTCCACCTGCCCCCAAATTGTTTAAAAAAAAAAATAAATAAATAAAAAAAATAAAGCACACACAGTTCTGCATCACAACATACACTGCGGAACTATCTAGCATGCTCTCAATCACTGACCACACAGGTTAAGGCACGAATTATATCCTCAACAGCAATGCAATAAAAATAAGAGTAGGATTGGAAAAATATCTGAATTAAAATGTTTTTACCTTTCCTTGAGCTCCTTCTCCCAAGACTTATAATAATCAATCAATCAGTCAATAAAGGGGGTAGTAGAGAAACACAGTGAAACAATAAATAATACCTGACAGCCTCTCTTTTCAATTTCCATAATACATTTCTGTATCAGGAGTGGCACCATCAAGCCTACATTTTCTTTTTCTACCACTTTTTGAATATCAACACCAAATATTACTGATTCCCGATTTTTATCTAGTCCATGAAGAGAATTCTCCCATTGTTCCATAAGAGTCACTTTCACATAAATAAGACCTCTAGGTTCGAGTTTGACAGCCAACTGATGTGTCTTTGTCACTCTGAATAAGGTGGGGAGAACAACAGTTCCATGACAACACACGCGATTTTTCCTTGGAGTTGGCTCCCAACTGAATACTACTAGTTTCAAATGTTGTGCATTTTCAATTTCTATATTGAAAGTATGATCCATGTCTAAAAATGTGGTCCGACATGTAAGCAAAGCTGTTCTTGCTTTGTTTACTGAATCTACCTGAATGGCACAGAAGACATCCTTTGAATCAATCCGGGGTGGTTTTAAGTCCTCGGCACCATAGAAATGCACACTCATGAGTCCAGATATGTACTGTGAGCATTTGGGTTGATCAGAAAAACTATAATGTCTGAAAGCATCTGTGTCTATTTCATTTTTGCTGCAACTGTTTGGAATTATGTCTTTGGTTTTCCCAACTTTGATTTCAGATCCATGTTTGCTAGATTTAGTTAGAAGTTCAGGTGAGTCTCCATCGCTGAGGTAACCACCTTTGCAGGAGTACTTCGAACTCATAGAAGTTTTCTTCTGGTAGCTGTGCTGAGAAGACACAGTGGTGTCAAGGTGGTATCGGCTTATAACATTCCTCTTAGCAGCTGTAGTTGTGTTCCCAGAAGGTAGAATAACAGTATGGTGAATTTCTCGACAGTTACATTTAGACAAGGAAGGAGTATTATCTGGACTGCTCATATAATTCAAGGTTCCTTTAACGCTTAGCTTTCGACTAAATTCCGGCAACCTTTTCATTTTCATGGAGAGTTTCCTCACAGTTCGTGGAGATTTTATTTTATCTGGCAAAGACCAATTAATTGAACTTCCTTTTTTCACAGGGCTGGGGCTTGGAGAAGAAGGTTCCATAACCCCTAATTCAGACCTATTTGTAGCAGGTAACATCCCAGAACCTTAAAAAAAAAAAAAAAAAAAAAAGGAGAGATATCATAAAGTGGTATGTATTGATTTCTTCTTTTATTCCTGTTTTATAAACCATCAACTAAACAAGATCTCACATGGACAGAAATGCTTCCCTTGTTTAATTTCAATGGGGAGACACAGACATTCAGATCAGTCTCTTATCTCCATGTTCAAGCAGTGTCAAAGATCTCCAGATGGCTTACAGTAGAAAGAAACATCTCCCTCTCCGTCTGCTACTCCAAAGGCTGTGAGAAAGAGTTCCTATTTAACATTCTCTGCTTCAATATTCTCCAGTGAGTATGTTATATTATAACCTTAAACAACTCTGTAAGTCTCTGAGAAAATGAGGCAAGTCTCATTTTCTCGCAAGTCTCGTTTTCTCGATATTATTATGTTTATTTTAACTACAATCACTATTCCAAAATAAGAATGTTTCTTCTATGTTCATAATCCCCTAAAGCTACCACATGGCAGTCCTGGCTTTAAAACAAGTTAAAAAACAAACAAGTTTATAATTTTGGCAGCCAAGAGCCCCTCCTTATTAAATTCTATCGGAATACATCAACAGAGATAGGCTGAATGACAGTCAATCAAGAATGACTGACTACTGTATATCAAAAATCTAACTGAATAATTACCAAAATTGCTAAGATAGTTTCTTTCCTGTATTATTTGTAAACAATAATTTCATAGAACTTCAAAAGTTAATTAAGGCCTTTACTTGCAATTTCAATATATTAGCACTACAGAGATATAAATAAGTTTCCTTGTAATTTTCCATTTGCATAGAGTAAAACATTGAATTTTTCTTCATAAAAATTGCTTTATTCAAAAGACAAGAAGGTAAAACAGGTTCTTTCCGGGGGTGGGCAGTGTTGGGAGGCAGGAAGGGCATAAGGAAAGGATAAAGGAGGGCAAATATAGTGGAATTCTCTTACATCCATGTATGAAAATAGAACAACGAAACCTACTGAAATTGTTCTAAGAAGGGGAGAGTGTATAAAGGAGAGAAAGGGAAGGAATGAATCTAATTAAGATATATTGTAAGCATTTATGTAAATGTCACAATGTTCCCCCATATGACAATAATGTTAAAAAAAACAATAAAAAATAGCTTTATTCTTTTCCATATGTAAAAAGTATTCAAGCTTACTGAATAATAATTTTAAAAACACTAAAAAGTACAAATAAAGTAGATAATAGCTTAAGTCACAAATTAAAGATAATCACTATAACTACCTTGGTGAAAATAATATTAAAAATTGTTTAATATTAACACATTAATTACTGATATTTCATTACGATTAGATAAAATCAATGAACACTTATTGAGCTAGGTGGAATGTACAGACCCTCTCATAATTCTCAAAGTAAACCTGTGAGTTAAATACCAGTGTAAGTACTGGATTTCAGAGCCTAAGCTCTGAAATACTACACTTTTAGCTTCTCTATCCTTCTGAACACTTTTCTGTCAGATATATATACTAAAATTTTAAAGATCTTTTCTCCACTATTATTAAGAAGATATTCCATTTAATTTAAACTTTCCCAGTTAAAAAAAGACAATTTCATTTTAAAATTTATACTTGTTCCTAGTAAGTTGTCAAACTAATAAAGCAAAGTAAAAATACCTTCTAAAATCTGATATAAATTTAAACTCTTCCTTTAAAGAAACATGCCTGTAATCCTAGCTACTTAGGAGCAGAGATCAGGAGGATTGTGATTCAAAGCCACCCTGGGCAAATAGTTCTTGAGACCCTATCTCGAAAATACCTAATACAAAAAGGGATGGTAGATTGGCTCAAGGTGTAGGCCCTGAGTTCAAGCCCCACTACCACCAAAAAAAAAAAAAAACAACAACTAATACTATTGTAATTAATTTTAAATTAATATTTCATACTTCATCTAACTACTCCTTATAAAGATCTAATCATCTTACTATCAGAAGTTAATCTATATAAAACTACATTGCACAATTAAAATGAGAAAATGTGCTTATTATTTTAAAAATCAATAGATTAAGTGACCTTTCTTTCAAGTATTGATATAATATTCTCCCTCCACCCATGTCTGTGTCATAATGACAATGAAGTCATTTCTTTATAAAAAGAGGACTATTTTAAGTATGTACACTGGGCTTCTCTGGTAAATAGCTAATAAGTAATGGACTGTTTGATAAACTGGACAAAGCAGCCCCTTGTATTACAAGTCACGGTACAATTCTACTGGCTAACTAGTCCAAAGCATTTTATAATAATCAGGGCACTGTTTTAGTCTACAAAAGATTTATTTTTCCACCATTTAGAAAAGGTACCCAGTGCATTAAATTGCTGTGGGTTTCGTTAAATTATTAAGAAGTGTAATATTCTGACTCTTTTTACACATTGTAAGTAAATAATTCCTAGTAAAGTCTTTAATTGTTAAAATAAAATACTGTATATGTTAGCAAAATCTACTGTAGACAAGAGTGAATTTATTAAAACAAAAAAGCCTTGTTTTTATAAAACCCAAGAGCTGAAGTATTACCAAATTTCATGATCACTTAAAATTAAACTATAACTATGCTAATCAAATCACAAAGCAGCCATAAGAATTGAGTACAAAATGAAAATCCTTAAATATAAACTTATGTACCAGAGTAAAGTCTAATGAACCAGCATACTCCTTCAATACCTGGAAAAGTAAATAACATAGAGGGAACTGTTAATTGCCCTGTACACTGAAAACCTTTCAGGAAATACAATATAGGAATTACCAGTAGTAGTCACTAGCCATTAAGATCTAGTAATGATCATAATAATTGATTCTAATGTAACAAAAAGACCAGAATGAAAGCATACTGCAACAGCAATGGAAACAACTAATTAATACCTAATACCAGATTATGACACACCAACACAGTTAAACTCTATAAAGCTTGAGAAACAAGCTTAACCTTACTGTTAATCTACACGTAATGCAAGATGAAGCTACCAGAAGAAAAAGGAGCAAAACCCAAAAACAAGCCAGGTGCTAGTGGCTCACACCTATAATCCTAGCTACTCAAGAGGCAGAGATCAGGAGGATCAAGGTTCCAAGCCAGCCCCAGGCAAATAGTTTGTGGGAACCTATCTCAAAAAAACCCTTCACCAAAGAGGACTGGTGGAGTGACTCAAGGTGCAAACCTTGAGTTCAAACCCCAGCACTGAAAAATAATAAATAAATAAACAAGGCCCGATCTAATTGCAACTCTATAAAATACATATTCATCTGGAAGTTAGTAAGTCAAAAATAAGTCAAAATGGTTTTAGGATGATTTTTTAAAAAACTATAGTTTATATTTAAACACTTATAATTTAACTTTCTTATTCTCATATGAAAAAAATTATTTTGAAATTCAACCATTCTCTTTACCACTTCTCAATATCTGCCAATATTGTTAAGGAAAACATCACTTTAGATAGCCTTTCTACCAAAAAAAAAAAACTACTGAAATAAAACAAAAAATAAGCAAACAAAAAGACATATACATAAATGTAACTATTTCCTTTAGTCAATTTAGGATTGTGCTTATTATTTGAATTAAATGTTTAAAAGAAAGAAAAAGAGACATAAAGGCCAGATATGGTGATGCACTCCTGTAATCCCAGCACTATGGAGGCTGAGGCAGGAGAATGATGAGATTGAGACCAATTTGGGCTACAATAGGGAGTTCAAGGCCAGCCTGAGCTACACAGTGAGACCCTGTCTCAAGAATAAGAATACAAAAAAGACGTAAGTAATAGTCATTCCATACTAAGCTTGTTATTCTTTACAGGATCACAATTTGCCAAAAACATTAAAAAATATATAAGTTTGATGAAAGTAACTTAAACCAAACTGTGTATCACTTTATAGGTGCTGGCTCTGTAACTGTGCTCTTGTTCTTACACCTTCCTGCCTTCTCTTCACCATGGATACCCATCCCAATTTGTGATGCTACAGTCTCCTCCATCACTCCACCCTGATCACAACCCCCATTCAAACCGGCATTTTACAGGATATTTCTCTTCCCATCCAAGTTATAAAGTAAACACATATTTACTGTAGAAAATTAGTCTACAATTAAAAATGCACAAAGAAAAACAGTTTCTAGTTACTTTCTATCCCAACACCAAGAAAACAAAAAATAGCTTTCAGCATTTCTTTCAAAATTGTCATCACACAGTATAAACTGCTTTGGAATCCTCTCTCTATATTTTATTTATTTATTTTTGTGGTAGTGAGGATCAAACCCAGGGCTTTGCACCACTCCCCTCCATTTTTTTTTTTTTTTTTTTTTTTTTTTTTTTTTTGCTATAGGGTCATGTTAGGCAGCATAGACTGGCCTCAAACTCACTGCATGGTTCAGGCTGTCCTCTAATTTAGAATCCTTCTGCCTCAGCCTCCCCAGTGCCGGGATGACAAGCCTGTGCCACCAAGCATGGCACTTTTACTCATTTAACATTAACTCTACCTCCCCATGTCCCTGAGAAAAAGATTTAAACGCAAGTCGTTTATTTGCAAATAAAGGAAGTACAAAAATTAAGGGGCAAATTCAAGGGAACTCTCAAGCCTGCTACCACTATGGGAAACCAGAGTTGAACGAGAAAACTCTGGGAAACAATGAGGAATACATACTCAGAATTACCTAACCAAGAGGTGAGGGAGCCAGGGTAGACCTGTACTAGTGCCTGTCAGGAACCAATTGAGGGGCACACTTAAGCCTCACTGCAGAATGATACTCTAACTTCCGAGAAATTCCTCAGGCAGAGATACAACTACTGGAGGGTAGGAAAAGGCTTCCCCCATTCAAGAAGCAAATAATAAAATCCAGGGGATATAAGGTAACCCATTGACAGCATCCGCTATACCCCATATCTTTGAATATTTTGCATCATTTGAAATTCTATAAATCAAACTGACATAAAACAGAACTGAATTCTATTCTGCATTTGATATGTGCAATCAAACGTGCCTTCATCAGAAAACTGCAATCACGGAAAAACAAAGCCATTAGGTTGAACTATATGAAATGCTTTTTTTTTTTTTGCTGATCAAAAATGGTTGCTGGATCCCAGCACCAAAAAAGAAAAGACAAAAAAAAGAAAAAAAAATGGTTGCTGGATATAGTGGTACACACCTGTAATCCTAGTACTCAGGAGGCTAAGGCAGTAGGATGCCAAGTTTGAGGCCAGTCTGGGCTACACAGTGAGATCCTGTTTCAAAAAATAAAAAAGAAAACAAAACTGTTCACTATCATTTCACATGGCTCAATCTAATATATATTAAACTTCAATTATTTCTTTTTTGGATTCTATAACTATTGTAGCACCTATTTTTAGCAAGGATTTTACTTCTACCCCTCACTTTTCTTTCTCTTCTTTCTTTCCTTTCCTCATAGGGAAACAGACATAAGACACAAACTCATGATCACTGGTAACCTGAAAAGATACTGAGTGAATACAGGAAGCAATATAAGATTTATATAAAGAATGTTATCAGCTGGGCACATTGGTGCATACTTGTAATTCTAGCTCTCGGGAGGCTGAGGCAGAAAGATTGCAAGTTCCAGGAACACTTGTGCTACATAACAAGACCCCTTCAACTAAGAGAAAAGCAACTGGGCTGGTGGGATAGCTCAAGGGCACCTGCCTAGCAAGCATGAGGCCTTGAGTTTAAGCCCTGGTACTTAAAAAAAAAAAAAGAGAAAAGCAATTACTGTCTAAAAGGACCAACATACAAAAGCATTCCAGAATTACAAAACCAAGCCTGTGATAAAGGTAAAGCACCATGTGCATAAACGTATTTGTAAGGGTGAGGGTGCAGTTCAGTAGCAGAGCATCTGTCTAACATGTGCAAAGCCTTGGGTTTGATCCACAGCACCACAAAAAAGAAAAAACATTATAAGCCTTTGAGTTTTGTGTGAAAATTTATGCACTTTATAAAGAAAAGAAAATAAATACAATAGAGACCTGTATTTAGCTTTAGCAACTATCAAAGACCTAAAAAAAAAAAAAGAAAGAAAAGGCACCTCTATGATGTTCTTTACCTGCAAAAGCAGATTTCAACATGGGACTGTTCTCCACCATTATACCTTCCTGGGTCTTGTGTCCTAGTCCTTGTTTGTACTGCTGCATAAATTCTGTAGAATGGATAGAATCCACGGGACTCATTCCATTTGACTGAGTGGTCTGAATATCACCTGTGTGTTCAGAAGAGCACAGTTCTGCTTTCATCAGGTCACTACCAGACAACATACTCAAATTAAGAGCAGGAAGCTTCAGAACGGCAGGGTTTGCCTCACCGAAACTCAAGGCACTGGATATGCCAAGGTCATCATCCTCAGGAATGGGGTTGTACCATATTTCTCCTTCATCATCTGCATCATTTTCCTCATTAAAGTGGAAAGAACAGTTCCTTGATAATAAAGAGTCTGTGGTGTCACACACCATATATGTGCAGTACTCTTCAGAAGACTTAAGGAAAGGCTGTGACAGCTGATGTTTAGGTGGAGACACCGGTGAGATGGATAAATGACTTCTATCTTGGCATTTCTTATTTTCTTCCAGATTAAGAGATCTCAGAGTACTCTGATATAGCCAGTTGCGTTTCTTTGAAACAGTGATGCTGTTAAATGGCTTATGACCTCTGAATTCAATATTACCCTTCAGATCTTCAAGTTCTCTTCTCTTTATTGATGATCCATACACGTTTTCAAATAAATCTGTTTCAAAGGAGAAAAGAAGATAGAGTATAATGCCTGGTATAATAGGAAAGACATGTCACTTCAGACAAGTTATCAAAGTGAGAAGAAAAAGTAATATTAATCACAGTCAGAGATCAAAATCAAATCAGAAAAAAACTGGACTTTCCATCTAAACATGATTCCTATTATAAAGAAATGAGAATGCTAGTGTGTCATACAATTCTAAGAAAAAGAATATATATATAAATAAACTATATATATATAGTATATATAAATATAAATATATATAAATAAACCATACTGCTAACAAAGCCTTACCCTAAGCAAAACATACTTTATAAAAAATCTTAAGTAGAATGCTTTACATACAGTATGCCTTTAATTAATATTTGAATATTCAACTCACTATTAAAAGGACCAGAAGTCATTAAAAAGAACAATATTCCTATCTTTTCACACAGATCGATTTTCTATAACCTAACAAAAAAGTGTGCCTTACTGATTATCAAAATTTCAATATGACATGGTTTCCTAGCCACATAGTACAGTAGTGTCTTATGCAGAGTTTGAGTTCTAAATATCTTAATGCAATAATAAAAATAAAATAAAAATCCCTGAAGGAGGTTGCACATTAGAACCAAGCATTCTGTCTCACAGTAAGTACAGCACAGCTATCATTGTTATTATTGGCCAAGCACAAACTTAAGGAGCTACATACTACACAAAGCAGACCCTGTTCTTCAGAATTCACAGTCCAGCAAGAGCCCTCAGATAGTTACATGTTACAAGTTAATGTAATAAGACTCTAAGAATGTACACATAATATTACTTCATCTAAAGAAGAAGGCTTATGCTTCCAAGAAGTTACATGAAGCAAGTTTCAATGGCAGGGAATAAGCAACATATGTATGTGTTATAATAACTCACTACACATAAATGAAAGTAAGACCACATTTGTAGAAATCTAAGATCATGTCATGTTTGTAAATTATGGCACTATGGTCTTATGCCACTTTGAATGTATATGTTTGATTCATCTTAATGTTACAGCAAATAAAAACAATAATCAAATAACAGAGTACTAGCACTAGAACACATTAAATTATGAAGAGCTTAATATCAAGCAAAACATTAGGTTCATACAAGGTTTTCTGTACACTCCCTTCAACTGAAAAACTCCTTTAAAATGTAAATTTGTCCTTAAAATTTTATACACATACTCAACCAAGTAGATTAATCAAGACAAAACAATTAAACATAAAGTGAGATTCAAGTTTTGGATGCAGAAATTAGACTAACAATCAGAAGGGAAGGAAGCGCCAATGAACTCCCACTGTATCAGTCATTTATTTACTCAACAAAGGAGTGACAGGCAGGAGAGCTGAAATAGTAAGGAAGCCCCTAACTTCATTTAACATTCTCAGCAGTCTCAGACGCATATGATCCCCATCAGGAGCCTCAAAGAATATGAGGAATACGGTCATGGCATTAATATTCAAAGTAAGACTGTCTAACTAAAAACCGTGATAGTACCCCTCTCCTTGACCATGCCACTCAATAGCAGTGGGGAAACAAGCAACTCTCTGAATATAGGATAATATCATCCCATTTTACAACATAAGGTAGCTGCTGATAAAGATTAAATGAGATCACTTCAAAGCACACAGACAACTATAATATCCCAGTCTGAAAAGCCAAGTAACTTGCCTAAGACCCCCCCACCCCCCCCCCCCACCCCCCCACCCCTGCCCCACTCTACCTGGTAAGTGGAAGAGGCAGCACTCAAATTCTTCTGACTCCAAACTTTGCAGTAGCAAGCCTAGGCTACAACTACTACTAAGGGGAAATCATTCCTATTCTTCAGGATTTACAAGGTAAACACATAACAGATACTCAATAAGTACCTTAAATTGAGTTCATTTCTTTCTTTGATTATTGCTTTTACATTTGAAATTAACGAATGAAGATCATATACCAGAAATCACTGGGTTCTGAATGATCACATGCAAAGGCACATTTGAGTCCAAACCTCAAATTATTTGGTAGCATTTCAGATGTAGGCAAGACATTATTTATATATACATTTGACACAACTATAAATTTGAAGCAAAAAAGGGTAAAATTATGTAATTCCTGATGATTATGAGCCACAGTTATTTTATTCTCAGATATCTCTTACAACATCAAAAATTTTATGTAGTTAGACACACCATTTTGTGTCCTATCAGAGATTTTTCTGACATATTGTACACTATAAATGAAACATGTTCCTACTTGTACTACATTCCAAAGAACTGCAGTTAGAAAAATAAAGCTACTAGCATCCAATATTTAAATGAGCTGATACTTCTATTGATGTTCTGAATGAAAGTACAAAGGAATAATTACACTGTGAGACACACTATAACTATTCTTTTTTATTATTGTTGTGCTGGATATGGGTACACTGTAGCATTTACAAAGGTTCTTACGATGTATCAAATATATCACACTTGAATTTTCCCCCTCCACTGCCAACTATTCTTAATGAAACTACAAACAAAAGCTTCAAACCATATAGTCTGATTGCTATTGCACTATTTCAAGACACATGATGCTGAAGTTTAAACTTACAGAGAAGAGCTATGTTATTATCTTTTCTGATAAAAGCCAAATTTATTGTTATTAAAATTGAATTGAACAACACATTATTCAAAGCAGTAAACATTGCTTGAGTAATTATAAATTATTTTAAACATTTCATTATCTCAGCTAATAAGACAGATACAAATGTAAATTCTGTGAATGTAAATTGATATAAATGGAAACCTTCTTGCAATCTCCCCCTCCCTCCCTTTTCCTGGTTATTCCCTCCCTCTCTTTAATGCTTATCTTAAATTTATTAGCATAAATTTAAAAATTACCCTTTGCTTCATATATATGTATATATATCTACATATATATATGAACGCACAATATAAAAACAAGTATTCAAAGTTGCTAGGCAAAAAACTATTTCAGCTACACATGTATAATTTTCAGATTCCAATTAAAACCATTTTATTTTGAAAATCTGTAAGAGAATGAAGAAGTAGCAATTTCTACAAAGTTTTTTCAAAGCTCAGAAAATATTCTGAACTACGCAAGTCCATTTTGTTCTTCCGACTGTTATTTATTTATTCATTTATGGTGGCACTGGGGTTTGAACTCAGGGCCTACACCCTGAGCCACTCACCAGCCCTTTATTGTGATGGGTTTTTTTGAGATAGTCTCAAGAACTATTTGCCTGGGCTGGCTTCAAACTTTGACTCTCCTGATCTCTGCCTCCTGAGTAGTTAGGATTACAGGCGTAAGCCATCAGCACCTAGCTTCTCAATGATTATTTTATAATACTCTAGATCACTTTCACTGAGCATTTAACTTGCATCCCCAGTTCAAAGGCATTAGCAAACTAAGAAATTATATATTTCAACCCTTACTGAAAATGTGCAGCATCTACAGCCACCTTCTCATCATGTAAAAATTTCTACTGCAGAAATAAGCTCTGTTGCTTTTCTTTACATTGTTTTAAAATTCCAAAATAAGGACTTAAGCAGTAGAGCACCAGCTGTGCAAGCTTGGGAAGCCCTGAGTTCAAACTCCAGTTCCCCACACAATCTTAAATAAAAAAATATTCTTATGAATACTGTGTTATATATTTAAATCTGTGCTTTAAATTTTAAAAAGTAATATATGTACATATATATGTATACATGTGCATATACAAATATATATTTCCATGTATATAACTATATATTTCCCAGGCAAATCTATAAGTAGGAAGAAGGTACAATGAAAAGGAAAGAAGTACTTTTTCTCTTTTTTGTGTCTTGTGACTCTCAATGAAAACCCTTAAGTAAGTAGTGCACTTGCTTTTGAGACAGGAAAGTTGAAAAGAAAACTTGGAGTCTGTTTTCAGTTCCACAAAAGTAATGGGGAGGAGCAAGAGAAGGAAGCAAAAAAGAAAACAGCAGAATAAGCAAGTACCCCTGAAGAGGGTTCTTCTCAAGGCAGCACTCCTCAACTTTTCATCATCTTGTTCTCCATCCAGAATCCTAAGACCTGGAACCAGGCAGTGTTCTCACAAAGCTAGCTGGCCTTCACCTTGACAATAACAGCTAAGTGCCAAACAAGGTTCCAAATACATTATCTTCTTTCATCTTTACAATAATCTGAAGACTGAGGCCACATGAGGTTGAGTAACTTGTCCAGGGTCACAGACAGGTAAGTGATAGGAGACCAGAATCTATTCTAGTCACCATTAGATACAGTATGGCCTCTTATCTTGAAGATTCCAAAATTTTACTAATATTTATTGGTATAAGATGTGATCAATATAAAGGGAACTGCTCAAACTTGTCAAATATTCATTCATACATATAAGACAAAAAGAGAAAGAACTCAAGTGCTTTTACATATCAAGTATTAGAATAAGGTAGAATGCTTTTCCAAAACTGTCAGGGACATGAGAACTCTAGAACCTTGCTGCTCAAATGTGTGTTCTGCCAAACAGAACAAACACTGAAAGTTTGTCCTTGCCCACACTTACTGAATATTCATTTTAACAAAATTTTCAGGGACTCCATATGCACTTAACTCTGAAAAGCACTGCTCTAGAACAGTAAGCCACACTTTCAGCAGCATCTAGAAAATAGTCTTAAGTGGTTCTCAAAAAATAAACAACAGACATCTCTTGGGAATCATTGATCTAGAAATGTAGGGATTTCAAATCAACAAAACACTACTTTCTGCTGAATTTGTAATTCTCTAAGTTTTCCAGCCACCAGCAACTCCAGTGTTCCATGGGCACTCTTCCAACAAAAACAAAAAAAGGCGGGGCGGGGGGAGGGTGTTGGGGGGGAGCAACTGCACTTGCTTCCAAGGCCACAGTGGCACACTCTCTCAGAGAGGGATTTAAAGCCTAGAAGACTGAAAAATTATATACCTATGCTACTAATCTTGAATCAAGCCAATCCAGAGAAAAGAATGCACCTCATAAAGAAATCAGAGCTTCAGATACTTAGGAAAAGAAGCAGGTGGCAATCTCAAGTCAACTCACACAAGATGATTAAAGACCATACCAGCTAATTAACACTACCTTAAAAGAATTGTCTAAAATTTTAGATAAAATACTAACAAAATTACACTACCTAAATAGAAGGAAAAAATGGAGTCAAGGTGGGCTAATTATGTTTTAAGGCAATAAAAGGCCAAAGTAGCTCAACTTGCATGCTTCTGAATATATTTATGAGAATTATATACTTATTAAAACTTATTTATAAAGATTTATAATGAAGGATAGTAGGCAAATAAATTATGATTTCTTCATAATCTTAAGGCTTGCAGAAACTTGACAATATTTACTACATGTAATGACTTTAGATTTCTTAAATAATCATCTTAATTAGGAACAAATTGGCCAATCTAGGAACACTACAACTTAAATGCATCTAATCATTGACATTATAATACCATCAAAACTTTAATAGTTCTTGGTGGGAACCAGCAATCAAAATAGAAAATCAGTTTGGCTTCCATTTGTTGTATGGTCTAAAAAATTTTCAAGATACCTATGCAAATTAGGTATCCTTTTCCCATTGCATAGTTATTCTGTGTTATAAATTCTAAATATAATTTTATTCTGAAAGAAAGTATCCTCATGAATAATATTAACAGAAAAATGTAACATAAACCTTTTGGGATATGTAACATCTTTTCTACAACCAAGAAGTACTGCTTCATCTGGACTGCCCCACTATTTTTTTTATCTAGTGCTAGGGATAAACCCAGGGTGGTGAGTGTGCTAAGCATATGCTCAACTACCAAGCCCCATCACCGCCCAAAAGCTTGGCTCAGAAGTAGAATCCAAGCAACATCAATATGAAGTAAACATTTTAAAGGCAAAGGTTTAAAATGGATACAGCAATTTTTTTTTTAAGTCTTAAAACCTATTTTAGGATTCGCCCAGCTTCTTTCAACATTGAAGAAGTTTCTTACCTCTCTAAACCTTGTAGAAATTCCACTCAACTCCTCAGTTCAGGCAAGTGAATAGAATTAACTGGTTCAACTCGCTAAAAAAAACTTTGGAGTCTCTTTGACCTTATATAACTAAGGATTTGGGAGTCATGAGACCTCAGTTTGAATCCACAAAATAGTCTGAATCCATATACCAGCTGAGAGACCTTGGGCAAACTAACTAACACCTATGTGACTTTTGCTCTTGTAATATGACAGTTGTCATATCTGAGGGAGAGGGTATAAAAATTATATAAGAACCACACAAGGTATCCAGAATGGTCTTTGACAGACCTACTAACCTTCATGAAAAATTGTTTTAAAAATCCTCTCCAAATCTACACCCTACATATGTAAACACTACACAAATTCTTTTCATGTTTTGTGTTTCCTAAAGGATGAATTCATGATTTGAAAGGAAGTAACATCAAAAAAACCTGTTTACATCAGAGACTATGATAGCTTCTTTTTTCTTTTATTCATATGTGCATACAATGTTTGGGTCATTTCTCCGCCTCCCCCTGGCTACCAGGCAGAAACTATTTTGCCCTTATCTCACCTTAGATTTCTTATAAAATACTATCACATAGTAATTGTAATGTTTGTTTTTAATTTCTTTTAAAATTGTTAGCAATTTCATATTCAGTGTCTTCATGGATAAAACAACGGATACATTCTTAAAGGAAATATCTGTTAAATCCTGTTTACTCTATTACTGAAGGCATTAAAAACCATTAGATGGTAAATGTTTTACCTCTGCAACAAAAGGGTAAAAAAATCTGCCAAAAGTTTATACAGATTTTTGTTATGGCTGAATTTCAACTGTCATACAAAGAGTTAAATGAACCAAGATCAAGGGAGGTTAAATATTGTGACAATAAATATAATAAATGATTACAAATACTTTACTCCTAGAAATGCATATTTTTAATGTGACCTCGGTACAAAATACACCTCTCTTACCAAAGTCTTCCATTATTTTTTTTATTCAAAAGAAATAGAATAAACTTGAGGATAAATTTAACAAGTATGTACTGAAGACTTATACACAAAACCACTTCTAATTTACATACACTTTAAAAGAATCATTGATTTAACCTTATTGTTTGATTATAAGTTTTGTGAACTTTGTTTCTCCCCACTGTTAGTGTTTACTGGCTAAAGTTAATGTGTATTAACACAATCCTGTAGGAAACTTAATTCTTACCAGAGAAGCCACCAAACACATTTTAGCATTTCATATTTTTTTAAACCATTGCTAACATGAAGACTTTTATAACTCACTAAAAGTTTTTATACTTAAGAATGTAGTTCAAAAGGCCAGGTTCTTTTGGCTCAGTTTCTTTAACAAAAAAAAAAAAATTTTTTTATATTTACAACATAATCAAGAGATTTCTCAGATTGATAGCCTAAACTTTCACTGATAATTCAAACTCATGCGCATACAAATAAGTGCAAATATGCTTTTTAAAAAATTAATTTACTTCTGCACATACGGTTTCTTCAAATTTATAAATGACTTTAAGTGCCTGGACTTTTTTAAATAGTCTGTGAGGGACATTTTAATTTTGATTAAAATACCAGTATCGTTGATTTTCCACAAGTAAAAGAAAGGGTGGGTGTGTGTGTGTGTGTGTGTGTGTGTGTGTGTGTGTATACGCGCCTGGAAGAAAGAAAAAAAGAGTGTAACGAGCAAATGACAGTTTATGAAGCTTGTAAAAACCACCTTGGATCAAATTCAAATTTACCAACTCCACAAAAGTCTCCGGATTTGCCTAAAGCTACAGAGAAAAATCAAGGCAGCACCGCCCATCTCTAAACCTACCAAAAAAGCGTGCGATGTGAACTCAACCTTTATTCATTGCGGCACTAAGGGAGTAAGGCAGGCACACTGGTGCTTAGAGAAGAAAACACAAAATCCCCGAGTCTTCATGCCATTGTTTATAAGAAAGGAAAACGACTGAATGCGAGACATTCTACTAAGTCACCTCGAAATCGCTTTCAGTTGCCACTTTCATGACAATTTAGTAGTCACGTATCTACCTGCAAAAACGCACCTCGTTCTTGGCGAGACCGAAGCCCGGTTGGTAAACACTGAGGTTCGCGGGTTAGCATGTCGCCTGCAGAGTAACCTACCTGTCAGTGTCACGCTCTGGTCTGGAGGCTCCGAGAGGACGTGGTTTTCACGCATTTTCAAAGTGTCCAGATTTGGAGGTACTGCTTGCGTTCCTGGGACTTTGGGGGTTGTCCCCTGGGCTCGACCCCTCATTCCTAGGGACAGCAGGCGCCCTTTGTACATCCACTTTTGCAGCTTTTTGACTGTCACTGCAGGCGGCTTAAGGAAGGGGGGCCCCTCCTGGCGGTCTTCTCTGCCGCTGCGAATTACCGAGGACCCCGCAGGACCCCCAAATGGGCTTTCTGGGGAGCGGCCAGGGATCTTGGAGCCGGGAGGCAGGAGGCAGTCGGACGCCGCGGCCCGGGCGCTGCCCCTGCTCCAGCCGTCCATCCCGCCTCCACGTGGCGGGTGCTCGTCCCGTTCCCCGCGCGCGCCGCACCTGATCCAGCTGTCGCTGGGCCACCGCTGGAATGGAGGCAACTTGGCGCCCACCCGGAGGCTCTCGAGGCTTCTGCTGCAGGACAGCCGCATCCGAGGAGTCGGCAGCCGGCCTCCCCCCGACTCCCTCGGAGGAGACCGGGGCGGGGACACCTGCTGCGGAGGGCGGTCGCTGCCTCCCCGCTCCCCGTCTCGGCGGCAGGCTCCGCGGTCCGCAGCGCCGCCGGGGGAAGGCGGCTGGTCCGAGGCCCGGGCTCCCGCGGGGCAGCCGCGATCCGCCAAGCCCCCGCCGGCCCGCCGCGTGCCTGAGTCAGGGGGCAGGTCGTGCATGGCCTGGATCAGCAGATAATAGGCCTCTCGCAACTGGGTCTGCAGCCTGCCCGTCTCCAGGCGGCCGCCCTCCGCCCCCGGGGAGGAGCCCGCCGCGGGGGGAGGCGGGGGCCGCCGCTCCGCCTCCGTCCCCTCGGGCGCGGGCGCAGGCTGGGAGCCGCCAGGCAGGTTCTCGTAGTAGTCGGCGGCGTCCTCCTCCTCCTCCTCCTCCTCCTCCTCTCCGCTGCCCTCGGAGCCCGGCGGGGCTGGCAGAGAAGCGCGAGCGAGCCTGCGGCCCGGGGGGACGGCCTCCTGCCCACCGCGTGGCCGAGGCCCGAGCGCCTCCAGCCGCTCCGGGCGCCCTCCGGAGCCCCGCGCCCCGGGAGACGGAGGGGGCTGCTCCAGGCTCGGCCCCGCTCCGCCGGCGCGCTCGCGTGGAGGGCAGTGCGGGGCACCCCAGACGTCTCCCTCGGCAGCAAGGGAGGCCGCCACTGTAGCTGCAGCGGCTGCGGGGAGCCTAAGCCCCCCAGCGCCGCGGGGACCCCGCTTCTCCCGGAGTTTGGACAGCGTCCTCCTCAGAGGGTCCGCCATCCCCTCCGTCCGCCTCAGCAACGGGGCTCGCCCCCGCCGCGGGGAGAGGCCGGAGTCCCGCCGCGGAGAAAGCAGCGCTGGCGGAGGAGGCGGAGGCGGAGGCGGCCGCGGCAGCTCCCCATGACCGGTGCTGGCCCTCGCCGGCTCCTCACATACTTGGCATAACTCTGCTGCGCAAAGGCGTGGGGGAGGGCGGTGCGCCGCAGCGCGCATGCCCCGCAGCCCCGAGCCGCGACGGGGCGCGCGGGCCGGCTGCGCTCCCGAGGTGGGCGCGCGGCGCAGGTAGAGGCGCAGGCCGGGAAGAGTGGGCGGAGGGACGCGGGGCCGATGTCCCGAGCGCCAGGGGTCCCGGGGCCACGGAGCGCGCGGGCAGAGGGGCGGCTCGGCAGCTGCGGAGTTTTGATCAGGCCGTGAAGAAAGGGAAAGTGACCTCCCCGCGGCCACCCCAGCCCCTTCAGCAGCCCCTCCCCATCGCCACCGCCGCGTGAGGTGGCTTAGGTGGAGCAAGTCCTAACTTGAGGGAAAACAAAGATTGTTTTGACGGACAGAGTGGGAGTGCAGGTGTCTCTCTCACTGGTGCAGCGTGTTCTGGAAAGGTTCCGAACAGCACCGAAAGCTGTCTGTTTGAAGGAATTTGCAGTGATTCATTTTCAATGAGGAAAAAAACCAAATCTTTTGTGCAAAAATCACTACTGGTGTCTCTCTTTTTTTAAGTCTTGTTTTTCTTCTTTTGTGACATTAATGCAGGCTAACAACATTAATTCTTGTGTCAACCAAAACTTGTTAAAATGGAGCCGCAAACGTCATAATGCCCCCCATTCACTTGCCTACAAAACTACCAAATTAAAAATACAAATTCGCAGCTGTCAAATATTAAAAAGGTGTTTTTCATTTTAATTCAAATAGTGTGTTGAGAAACAATTGAATTGCAATTGAGAAACAATGTAATTTGGAAATGCCAACTCCCCCTAAAATATTAAGTCCCATGTTCAGTGCATTAAATTAAACTGAAATGCCTCTGGTTACCACATATTAATTGACCTGTTATTGATTGATACAAATCAGTGTTACCCTCATCCCTGGCTTAAATTGCACTTTTTAGTTTTTGTATATTAGAAAGGCCCTTTCTCTGAGCTACTTATAATGTACCAACACCTAGCACAAAATCTGCACTTAGTAGGTGTTCAAGTCCTCAGAAGGATTTGCTGAATGAACGCTTGCATTACTGAATAAAATAAAATAATTTAGCCCTAATTGACCTTATTTCCAACTCTATTTCCCTCTGTAAGTTGTGTTGTTATTTCCACCAAAGGCTCCAGTCTTTAAATTTGCTTTGATCTATACTACCTTTATTCCTATCTTGTCTCTCTGCCCCCTGGAATAATTTTACCTGCATCTGTATTGCAGAAATGTTACCCATCCTTTATGCTCTGGGCTCCCAGACAGACATGATCTCAAGTTCTTCCAACTCCAATGGTACTTTATTCCTACCCAGTATCCCCCAACAACAAGCCTCAGTAATATACTTATACTCACAGTATACTATTTCTTGGTTTTTTTGTTGTTTGTTTTATACAACTTGTATGCATGCCCTATCATCTCCCTTACTAGGAAAGTCATAAACTCCCTAAGGGCAGAGACTATAACTGATGATTGTATTATCTACAACACACAAACACAGCCTCTTAAATACTGTACATAATGAATATTTTTGAATCAATAGCAGTTTTAATTTCAAGAAAATAAATGGCTTAAACTTGCAGTCTATTACCTAACTTCCCACTAACCATACTATATTAGTGTTTTAAAATTCTTTCAGTGATGAATAAGTTTGTTAAAGAATTTTTATTACTAAGCATCACACTATGATGTGCATACATTGATATTTATAGTTCTACAATATTTTCATTCCATTGACCCAAGGCTATTTCATGAATAGTCAAGGCATAAAATTGTTTCCCAGTGAAACATTCCCACAGGAAATGACTGATAGCAATGTTGCCAATAATGGTGTCTATAAACACAATTTGATCTCTATCTCAAAAATTGTTTCCATTCCAACCCTGTTGCAAAGTCTTTTTATTGTTTGTAGTTAATAGAGTTGTAAAGAACACCATAAACTGCATATATCTATTTATCAATAGGTCTGGGTCGAACTTCATCCTTAATTCAACTTGTCATCTTGTTCAGGAGTTATAAAACACATAGGTCAGTATAAAATGCCATACTTTGTTTTCAACATTGCTCAGAACTAAGTCTGAGCAATGACTTAACCACAACTGAACTTAATGCCACTTTAAAACTGACAATGTTCTATCACATGAATCCGCAATTTTAACTATCCTTTGGGTCGCAACAGAGACAAAGGATAAGGATTAGTGGCCATGTGGCACAAAGACCTTAAGACTAAGTCCTATTTTCCTGTATGTGCCTTCTACTTCAGGAAAAAGTTGGTGCCCACAGAACGTACATTATATATAATGTAATTCAAAGTAACAAGGTATGATTATAAGCTGTGCTTTGTAAAATCTTTTTTTTTTTTTTGCATTTTAACAGTTTATAACCTATTCCCTCACTTATCTCAATTTTCATATTTTTCTAATCAGCAGATTCCCATGAAAATTAGGGGGTAGCTGATACATCTTCCAGTGTTTATACTTGTTTCTCAGTGCCTTGGAAATCATTTTGGTGCCCCATAAACTAACAACTATGTGTTGGCACTGTCACAAAAGATATAACAACTATGGGATAATAAGGCTCCAGGAAGGCAGGGAGCCAAACTAGGGATGGGGTAGTACTGACTCAATCTGGGAGAAGGGGGAAAAGCAGGGCAGGTTGAGGCAAAGGGCTAAGTTTAACCATAATAAAAGTGTCTATGTATGTTACAGTTATTTTCTAGTCAATTTAGAGTGTGTTTATGTCTCACTGGGCTTAGTCTTCCATTATACTCTTAGTGGAACCAAAGGCTCTGGCATTTGCCCAGTTCTCTCTCCCTAAACTGTCTCACAGGAATCCTCTGGTATTGAACTGCCTTGGTCTGCCATGAGGCTCCATCAGTATTGAGTAAAAAGTATGTCAGCCTAAAGGTGACCACATACAACTGTCCTGAGACCCATAAATGGCATGTTCTCCATACAGCAATTTTTACTGTTTCATAATTAACAATGTCTGGCAATTTGCAACAGTCCTTATCTCATCCCCACTCCCAGCCAAAGTAATAAAAAGGAGACATTTGCTGAATATACGTGTGTTTCTAACATATAGAAATGTATAATGCCTTAGAATTTTCACTGATGTTTCAGTGTTATCACGTTTATGGGATATATAGAGAAATTTGCTCAAGTTCACCATAATCTGGGAAGGGGAAATCAACCTTGTCTGTCTGATTCCAAAGCCACTGCACTTCTGTGGTGTTTTCCTGAACAGAAATAGAGGCTAGACACTTGCTATATGCTTGCACTGACTTCTGCCTTCATTCTTACAAATTAGTTGCTAACCCTTCAGAGAAGAGTTTAATGTTTTATGAGCTTGAGGGAAATGCAGCTGAGCACTGCTTGTTAAGCATTTTGAATTCCAAATGTGGTCTTTTTCAAGGCTGTTAGAACCAAATCCTTTACTCCCATTTAACTATAAATCTACTTGCTTAAACCACAATATGGAACTGCATCCTCAAAACATGAAATAACACCATGGGGATATAATCAGCAAAATCCACACTGGAAAACTGTAGCGGAAATAACTCGTTTTCCAACATGTTAACTAACTGCAATTTGTAGACTTTATTTGGAACCTGACGTGAACAAATATCTGTTTAAAAAAATTGAGCTAATCAGAAAAATTTGAACACTAACTAGACATGTGATGATACTGAAGAATTGTCATCTTAGATGTGATTTTTAAAAATAGTTCTTAGCTGGGGGTGGTAGTGCAGGCCTGTGGTCCCAGGACTCAGGAGACTGAATCAAAAAGGATTACCAGTTGGAGACCAGCCTGGACTACATAGCGAGATCCTGTCTCTCAAACAAATGAATAGATAAATAAGCAAATATTTTAAAATAGTTCTTTATCATTTAGAGGTAAACACTGAAATATTGATAAAATGATATGAAGTCAAGTTTATTTCAAAATAATTGTGAAGGGAGGAGACCGGGGATGTGAAGAATAAAGATGGGCTTTGAGTTGGAAATTGAAGCTGGGTGATGGGTTCATGGTGGGGAGGGGTTGTAATATTAGTACCTCTACTTCTGCGTGTTTGAAATTTTCCATTTTTTGTTTTTAAATAAATTTTAATTAGGATATACTCATTATGGGGGCAGATTCGTAGTAACAATTCCAATTAGTCTTATTTTGTACATTATTTACACTGCCCCTGTCCATCTCTCCCCCTCAACCCCATTCCCACCCCACTTAAAGCAATTGCAAGAGGTTTCTTAGTTCTGTTTCATTTAGATATATGAAGTCCATCTGCCATATACCAACACCTTAACCTCCTTCCTTCACCCTCCCTTCCATAATGTATCTTTAAGTTTTAATGGGAAGCAATTGCTTACAGTAGATCCCAGCAACACAACTTCAAGGGAAGCCAAATGCAGAGAGGATGAGAGAATACTGAAGTGTAGGTCCAAAAACCATAATCCCAGCCCGGACCTGAGGTGCTATAGTGGAAATGATTGGCAGTCAGATTGACCATGGGAATGAACTCCTCAGCTTTGCCAATTCCAGACCAGTATGCATCTCTCCTAAAACTCTGCAGCTCTTTTGAAATCCATGACTTTAAACTATACCACTGCCTTCAATGCTATATATTCAACAAACAACAAATAAATACAAGTGGCTTCTTAAAATTTTATTTTTCTCTATCAATCACCAAAGAATTCAAATCCAACTTACAAAATTAAACAAACAACAAGACTTCTCTGACCTCTTCAATATCTCACTTCCACTACCAAAACAAAAGCATTCAGCTTTTAGAAATAACAACCTCCTCCAGGTGTGGGGCACACCTGTGATCCTAGCAATCTGGAGACAGAGACGGCAAGATTGAGAGATCCAGACCAGCCTGGAGGAAGGGA